CACCATGAGTGGAATCTCCTTAAGAAACATCATCCACTGAGAACCCTGTGGAACACAGATCTACTCTGACACACACACGGGCACCATGAGTGGAATCTACTTATGAAAAATCATCCACTGAGAACCCTGTGGAGCACAGTTCTACTCTGACACACACGGGGACACCATGAGTGGAATCTCCTTATGAAACATCATCCACTGAGAACCCTGTGGGGCACAGGTCTATTCTGACACACATGAGGTTGCCAGGAGTTAGCGTTGACTTGAAGGTTACTGATAGGTTAAGCTTCTTCATTTTAAACAGTGTTTACTGGGCTGACTTCTTCGGGAGCAGACCCTTTGTCCCCCACATGTTTGAATGTCCAGCTCCTGACCCAGAACCTGGAAAGCAGGCCATCCTTGTTGCTCTAATGAACATGGGTAGAGCTTCCAGGGGCCACGATACTGCGGAGCCTGCTCACTCTCCCTTTGGAAAATGTCTTTCCCATCACCTTACTTTGGGTCAGTCAATTACTATCTGGGGTCGCTTGGCTATTTTTGCCTCTGACATTTGACCACTTTCCCGTACGGGACCACTCTGTGGGACGATAATACTTGTAATAATCCTAATTGTCCATCGCTTTTCACGTTCCTTCTTCCATTATATTTCATCGCCCTGCGCCTCGGTGCTTTTAAGCAGCATCTCTGCCTTTTGCGCTCCTGGAGTGGGTTTCTCATCCTCTGAAGCAGAAGCAAGATGAAGCAGCCCAAGTGGGTCTGGGATGTGCTTTTCTTCCTATGCCGTTACCACATCAAAGTGGCCAGAAGTCACTCAGAACTTTGTTTTCTCAAAGTTTCGGTAATTTGGATAAAAGGCAAGAAATGGGATCTGGTCACCGGCACTCTAAAATGGAAAAGTTGGGTCAAATAGGCCAAATGAGCTACTGTGTGAATTTTTAATACATAAAGTGTTTTTTTTTCTCTCATACTCAGGAGCTAAAGCACACAGGGGGGCTGGAGTCAGGGAGAAATATTTCCTCAAAAGACTTGTGGCTACCCTTTGTCATCATATGACGTGATGAATTTCAAAGACAATTTTCTTCGAAGCTCTTTGAGATGAGTACTAAAATTCCATGGTCTTTTTATGATTTCACTTTTATCAGCATGGTTGACAAGAGTCTAGGAACTTGTCTGATTGTTAATGAATGTGGAGGTGTTGCCGTTGGGGGCGGGTACCATCTTTAAAAAATACATTGTAAAAATGTGTGTGTATAACACAGCATTTGTCAGTTCTATTTTGGGTGTACAATTAATTCATCATGTTGTACGATGTTCACCTATAAACGTTGCTAAGCTTTCCACCATGAACAAAAGCTCACTCCATCCTAAACCGTGGATGGAATCTTGTACAAGGAGGTTGATTTTGTCTCAGCAGAAGCAGCAACAACCTTTACCTGCTCTTTATAATGTGTGAGACTTATACCAGGCATTGCATAGGAGGCATCAGGGCTAGAATTGGTGTCTTCATCAGCAAGGTCCCATACGGTGTAACGGTTCATGCTCACCTACTAACTGAAATCTTGCTAGTTCAAATCCAACCAGAGAAGCCTTTGAAAAAAGGTCCAACCATCTCCTTCTGAAAGATCACAGTCACAGAAACTAGTCTGGAGCACTGTTCTACTCTGACATCCATGAGGTGACCATGACTTGGCGTTGACTGGACAGCGATGTGTTTGGTTTGGGTTTGGGTTCATCAGCTTCACCTGTCTTCTCTAGAGTTAGCTACGTCAGGTGAGTACCTGGGTGTTCTGTACAAGGTGAGGTCTACAGGACTGTGGGATACCTGGAACTACAGAGTTCTAATCAGCACTGGACTCTGAGACACAATGTGGGCGGTTCAAACCCACCAGAAACCTTATACAAGGTCTCTATGAGTCGGAACCAACTTCACAGCACCAATAGCAACAACAAACGTGGAGATGACGTCTCCAGGCAGTGTGATAGTTAATGTCCTCAACTGCCTCCTGAAAGGTTGGTAGTTCAAGTCTACCCAGAGGCACCTCCGAAGAGAAACCTGGTGACCAGCTTCTGAAAAACCAACCGTCTGGCACGTGGTGTTTGCCATGTGTTGAGGTTGACTCAATGGCAAGTGTCTTTTAGCTTTTAACTTGGAGGTAGGTGCCCACTACAGTCTGTGACTACCAGTATGCAAAATTCACTCTGTGCCTGGCCTTGGCAAAGTAGCCCGTCCGCAGAACAGAGTGAGGTTCTCAATGTGATGCGTTGGCACAGTGTCTGCAACCATGGGCTCAAGGAGAAGAAAGCTTTTGAGGATGCTCAGAACAGGGCAATGTTTTCTTCTGCTATACATAAAGCTCTGGTAGCATAGTGGTTACGAATCGGGCTGCGAACCTTAAGGTCAGCGGTTCGAAACTACCAGCCGCTCTGCGGGAGAAAGATGAAGCTTTCTACTCCCGTAAGGATTTATACCCTCGGAAACCCTGTACAGGGTCGCTATGGGTTGGAACCGACTCGACGGCACTTAACAACAACAACAACATACATAAAGCACTCACTATGAAGTGGAGCGGATTCAACCACACTTCACCACAACATGTGTGTCCTGGACCAAGGTCCCACTAGGCCTAATTTTGGTTTTCTAGCAGTAGGAAGCCAACTGTCCTTACTGGATGGACCTGCACACTCAGCAAGTCCCAAGTCTTCTCTTCAGAAAGGTCTTGGGAGAGGGCCCAGAGTCTTGGGATAACCCAATAAAGCAGCTTCACACAGGTGGTCAGGGAGGGAGCCAACTTCACTGGCTACTGTCAGAACAGCCCCTAGACTGACTCTTCTTGTTAGCCCAGAGTTTGGGTCTGTCCTGGAGAGATTGGATCCTATAAATCAACACTCTAGATAAACAAAGAAAGGGGAAAACCTTTCTCATTATCAGGAAACCAACTATGGAAACACCTTCAGCGAATCTGCTGTTTAATTGGTGTCCCTGACTTTTGTTATAAGCATGTTTTATACAATTTCTCGAGAAGCCGAGTTCTGTACTACATGCAGGAGTGTAGGAGTGGGGTTACAATTCTAACATTCATGTTAAATAACAAAATGGTCATGATATCCCAGTAAACATCTCAAGGAGGGCATGATTAAGCATCCCAGAGCCTGTTTGTCCAGATGGTCATTTCTTACCAGAACAGGAACCAGGCTCCAGGCAGAGCCGGGCAATTGTGGACATTCCAACTTAAAATTGCCAAACGTGGATTTAAGAAACAAGGGTGAGTTGGGGACGGTGTGTGAGACTTTCAGACATTGCTAGGTTGGTTATATGTACTCGTAGCTAAGAAAAACTGTGTTGGTTTCTATATGGCTGCAGTTTTGGACTCATTTCCCCAACCTGGACCCAGCTACATCCTTTCAACCAGTTGCAGTGGAGCAAAGTCAGCCTGAGTAGGGGAGGGAGCGCTGGACCCAAGTACCTGGGGCAATGTTAGATTACCCCAAGGTAAACACAGGCTGACGTGTGCTTACTGATTAATCTGCAACCAACAATTTCACATGTTTCCACCACATCCGAGATTCTGTTTTTAGGTCAGGTTGGCATCTGTCTCTCCCCTAACCTATACCCACTGCAACTTCCTGAACAATCAAAGATTCTTCAAATTTACAGTTCCAGCTAGAGACAAAGTACCTAATCAGCAAGGTAAGCATGAGCTTACTTGTGCTTACTTATCAATCCGTAGTGAGTCATTTTACCAGGGTTTCACCATATCCAAGAGTCTGTCCTAAGTCTGCTTGGCATATGTCTTTCTCCCCCCCGCCCCCCAAGCACCTTCCTACATAATCAAAGTCTGCTTTCAAATGTATGTTTCCAGAGCAAGTGTGTCAGACAATGTTCTGTTGATTCCATAGGGCTTTCATTGGCTAGGTTTTGGAAATCCATCTCGAAACATTTCCTCCTAGTCTGTCTTAGTCTAAAAACTCCATTGAAATCTGTCCACCCTAGGTAACCTTGGTGGCATAGCTTCCCATGTCATAGCAACACAGAAATCCCACAGTATAGGGAGAAATCGGAGAGGCTCTCAGGTGACCATGGTCTAGTCTCTGAGGCATAGCTGGATGCCTGTCTGCTGTCCCTTTCACTCAGTGAGGTTGTTTCAGTCTTGTTCCCATTGGGTGACAGCAATTTTTCTGGTGGCACTTATATCTTCAGAACCATATTTCCCAAGCTCTCTCAAACTTGAGGTTTATCAGATTCTTCAGGCCCCACCCAGAGATTCTGGTCCAATAGGCCTGGAATCGGGTTTGGAGACTCACTGTCAACCAGAGCTCCCTGAAGTGGTAGGCAGGTGAGGTACAGACTGTACATCTGTGGGGAAGACCTGGTGCTCAATACTGCACTCTTTTTCTCTGTCATCCTCTGTAAAGCTAAACCCCAAACAAGTGGACACTGAGCTGGAGCAGCTAACAAAAATCTGGGAGAGGAAAACACTAACATGTTGGTGCATCCACTATGTAGAGTCCTGGTGTGGTGTTATGGGACAGCCACTGGACCTCAAAGTCCATTTGAAGTGGTTCAGAATCACCAGTCACTCCTCAGAACCTTACACAGGGTTGCATAAGTCAGAACCAATGGGATAACACTTAACAACAACATCCACCATGCACTGGTCTTTTCTAGTTGTTAAGTGCTGTCGCATTGGTTTCGACTCATTGTGACCCTGTATGGGGTTTATGAGGCTTTAAATCTTTGCAGGAGTAGACAGTCTCATCCTTCTCCTTTGGAGCATCTGGTGGGCTAGAACCGTCAATCTTGTGGTTCGCAGTCCAGTGCTTATCCTATGGAGCCAGCACTATCCGTGACCCTTTCTATAATCTTTTTGGATTCTCCCCAAATCCTGACCCTGGGATGCAGTTGCAGAACCCTATTTGCTAATGAGGAGCTGGGGCTTCTGGGGACATGGTAACTTCACAAAGTCCAGGACTGAGCAGCATCAGCGTCTGTGCATTCACTGTTGATCTGTGTTTTCAAAGCTCAAAGGAGAGGGACAAGTTCTGAGAGTCTGGTCCACTCACCACTGACCTGTGTTCTGATAGCTCAAAGGACAGGGGAAGAGTGGAGTCTGGTCTACTAAGAGGGCATTAGAGCTTGGGGAGTGTTTCTGGGCTCTGTTATTCTTCTGTGAAACCTGCTTTGAAAATATAGAAAACCCCCTCAAGTTGCCATGGAATTAACTTGAACTCACGACAGCCCTATGTATCAGCACAGAACTGTGCTTTGTAAACTTTCTGTGGCTGAGTTTAAGGAAGCAGGCCATCGGCGATGCATCTGGGTGGACTCCAACCTCCGATTTTCTCTTCAGCAGCCGAGCTGGTTCACTGGTGTACGATTCAGACAAAAGCTCTGTCTCAACTACTGGTTCTGTTCAGGTGAGCCCCCTTCTGGTAATGAGAGGTAGTGCAACAACCTAGCAATTGAAAAAAACAGCCTCAACAGACGAATTTGGGCATTTTGTTAAGCTTTGGATGAAATGACAAATCTGTAGAGACATGACCTATTGCATACAGATGTTTTTAAAGTAATAGCCCCTCACTAAACACATACTTTGAATAAAGTTTGTCCAAGCCCTACAGTTGTGGTAGTGGTTGTCTGCCCCCTAATCAGTTCCAACTCATAACCACCGTGTATAGGGTTTCCAAGGCTGTAAATCTTTACAGGAGCATTCAGCCTCCTCTTTCTCTCATGCAGCGACTGATAGACTCGAACTCCTATCCTTCTATGCTACCAGAGCTCCTACAATACTTGTAGATAAAACATGTTTGGAATTAGAATGCATTTGGGTTAGAAGAAAGAGCTTGACTGTTAAATACCCAGGAAGAATCCCTGGTGACACACTGGTTAAAGTGCACAAACCCATCCATTACTTTGAGGGAGACAGACATGGCCGTGTATTTCCATAAACACTGCAGTCTGGAATACCCTAGTGGACCGTGTTCTGTGCTATTGGGTCACTATGAGTTGGAACCGAGTTGACAACAATAGACTGAGATTGAGACCCATCTGCTTGGCTCCTGGTATTTCTCAGCGTTGCAGTGAAAGCCTGCTTTGCTGTGTCTCAGATGCAGGCATTTCATTGAGCAGCGCTGAAGATGGGGCAGAAGTTTCTCATGGCTTCTACCGGATTCTCTGCCCTTTCCTGGTCCCTGCAATGGTCTAGGTTGAGTAACTCCATTACATGACAGCATTCTGGGGGAGGCAGTAGGGCAGAATTGTGGTTGTGGGAAGCATACAGTATGCGTAGTTCCCAGGCTTGGGGTTTAGAACCCTTCTTTTCACACTGAGTGAGCACCAAGACCTTACAGGGATGCATTGTCCTTGAAAGCCCTCTCTTCCCTCCAGTTCCGACCCATTCCTGTTCCTTCTGCTGGAACTTTCAGCATACATGCCTCTCTTTATATACAGATGTTACTCAATGGATCATTTCTAAATTCCCAGCCTAGTACTCAAAGCCCCCACCACCCAATGTGCCATGACAGCTCTACATTTTCACTG